CTGTCTCTTATACACATCTAGATGTGTATAAGAGACAGGTGTGTGTCCTCTGGTGTGTGTGTGGCGGGAAAAAATTCCCCGAGGGCGTGTGAAACCACCCGAAATATCTCCGAAAACCGAGTTTTTTTTTGAAATCGGAAAAAAAAAGTCGGTGGGAAATCACGAGAGGAATCGATTGCAGCACTTTATTTTTGAATCGTACGGTTGGATTGTCCCCAAGAAACTGTGCAAAATATCCTCCAATATCCGTTTTTTTGCCCATAACTCCGTTATTTTTTGTCAAATTGGAAATCGGAAAAAAAAAGTCGGTGGGAAATCACGAGAGGAATCGATTGCAGCACTTTATTTTTGAATCGTACGGTTGGATTGTCCCCAAGAAACTGTGCAAAATATCCTCCAATATCCGTTTTTTTGCCCATAACTCCGTTACTTTTTGTCAAATTCGAAATCGGAAAAAAATCATCGGTGGCAAATCACGAGAGCTGCCCAAATCCGGTCTCAGATTTTGTGTCTGCAAAAAACACCGCCCTCCAGAAAGTAAGCAAGATTTCTTGAATATCTGAACATATCAAGCGAAGGACAAAAAAAAAAAAAAACTCCGTGCGAAGATGCGCCTTGAAACGTCGATTTAGGCTACTTATTATGTATCATTTTCGGCCAGACTATTTTTGATCAATAATGATCTAGGTGTCACATCCGGCTTCTTATGTGTCATTTTTGCGCCTTTTTTGATCGAAAAAAATATGATCTGGGTTTCTGATCGCCCGAGTTGATCAGAAAACTTGGAAAAAATGGTTCTTGATCAAAAATAATCTGATCAGATATTACACATAAGAAGTACCCTTACGCGGTATTTTCAGATTTCGGAATAAGTACCCTACCCCGAGAAAAGTGCACCTTTGTGCAGGGGAAAATATTGTGAATATTTGCCCGAACGGATCATATGCCTGCAGTGTACCGTAGAAGTCCCCGTATTGCGGACCGGCGATGAACTTTTCCATATCCTGCAGAGCCGTCCGAACTGCCGCGCAGCGAACTGCTAGCGATATCCCCAGGGCCTCTTTGGGAGTTGTGAATTTGGCACCGAAGATACCCAGCCCAGCAGCAGTAGGGCAACAAGCCCCATCGCCATAATCCATCACCGGCTTTCCCCTACGTCCACCGTCCACCGGTGCGGCACCGTTGCACAGAGCCTCTGCCAAAGGTTCACAAACTCGCCCAAGGGTCCATCATAGCCCTGGAATAGTACGATCGCGCACACATGGTGTGGGCGCCGAAAAACATATGACATTGGCGCAGAGCCTGTCGCAAGGACGTTTCCATCCATAACAACATATTCGCCTGATTGAGAGCGAAGTATCTGATTGAGAGCGAGAGCCAAAAAAATTGAAATTTCGGGTCCAGACGCCTCTTGCCATTTCTTGGCAAGTAGGGGACGGGCTATTCCAAGAAGCGGTGCAAATTGAAGGTCTCATCAGCAGCTTCGCGAGCATATGCGTGTCATCGTCATCGGATGCTGCAGCGAGGAGCTAGACAAGTTGCTAGATTTGCCCAGATTGGCTATTTCTGCTCAAACTGTTTCAGGGCGGTATCGCGTCGGGCGGTGGGCTCTGCTGTAGCTTCTGCTCCCCGCTGTAGCTCCACAACGAGAGACTCCCACAGGATGACCAGGGTAGCGGCTTGAAGCTACGGGCTAGCCCTTCAATTCAAGCTACACAGCAAGCTCCACCTCTCAGTGGTAGTCCGGCTACAGCGTATCGCGCAATCTCGCTCTCAATCAGATGCTACGCTCTCAATCAGGCGAATATGTTGTTCCATGCCGTACGTCTCGTCGCATGCATCTGTCGTTGTTACTCTATTACCAATCATCCGGTAGCATATACTCGACGAAGCTCTCAGTAGATAAGGTTGTCCACTGAGAAAAAAAAAGTTGGAGTGTAGTCTAGACCTCGTTCGACACAACAGCCGGGTTAGGTACCCCCCCACTCGCTTCAGGTCGGCGCTTACCGGTAGGATGGGGTCGATTTGCTCTCCGTCCAATGTTTGCACAAAGCTGGCAGCAAAGTTGACCAGGTCGGAAGCAGCCTCCGCCGACACACCGTCCCTAACTTCCCCGGAGAGTAGTTGCTTCATTTTCGTGCGGACTGTTGCGAGGAAGACATTTCCGCGAATAGCTCCCCCCCCGTTCGCTACGCCCGGAATGGGATTCTCACTAGGCCCCCTCTCATATCGCCAACAAATGCTTGGCGCCAAATGCTTGGACCTGTCAACGTGGGTTGCCAAGTCCAGCCAGACATGTCAACCGAGCAACGAGAATGTTGTGTCACCAGGACTTTTGTCGCTGTCACGCGTGGAAGGTCTGCATGTATGCATACTACAGCAGTTCTATACAGACTAGTGATGAAAGAAAAAATATACCTTACACCCTACGGGAACAACCGAGGTCTTGACAATAACTTAACTCGATTTTAGGTTTTGCTTTTTTAGTTCGTCAAACATAAGAATCGTGCGCGTTCATTTCAACTACTGTTGTATCTCCATGCCACCACCCTACCCAGGATCGTCGTGTTATTCACCGGGTGAGAGAATCAGGGCTGAAGGGTAGGTGGTTTCTTACGACATGTAACAGACACATGTTTGCCCCACACCACCCACCACGGAAAATATTTGCACTTTTCAATACTCGGTGAACCAGTTGTTCACGCAGGAGAATGTGAGTGACAATCATTGTGAGCCCTAGTATAGCATACGCAATTTGGCGTCGCTACTGCCGACTGCACACGTGTCTATGGCGTGTGGAGAGCGCAAGCGGGGACGGGGTGTGTGCTCGAAGTTCAAAATATATAATTTGTACTCTGTTGTTGCAAGGCGGACTGCTGTTGTTGCATTTGCTATGAAAGAAACTCTGACTAACCCATAGGGCAGCCAGACCTCATGTGAACACTCTCGACGGCAGCACAACTGCTGACCTCAACAGACCAAGCGCTAGCACACGTGTTGGCGCGCGCGCGATGTGCAAGCGAGCGGCAACATAACTGCTGTAAGGGGAGGAGCAGTTCATCCCTCATGACCTCTTCACCAATATCTATGATACTCATGCGTGTGGTGATATTCGAAACAACCGTGCTCACAGAACCATAACAAGCCACTCACGCACCTCTGCTGCAGTCAATGGAGCGCTGGCTGGCCGTGTGACGGCGCCGTTGCGCGTTGAACATTGCAGCAGCAAAAAGGAAAAAACAGCCTGTATTCGAAATACTGGAAGCACGCAACGGACCTATATGCAGTTTGGTTACCCGGTTGTTGTTGACTTCACATTAAACCGTATGCCAGTTGCTAAATGCCAAAATCTAGCAAAGACTCTCGGCCCGTGGTCACGAAAGTGCTGGAGCCATCTGAGGACCCGATGGGGTGAACCAAAATTGACAGCAAATAGGTGTGTGAGCATCGCCAATGTGTGGGCAATCCATAGATGATGTGCACCAATTGGGATCAGCACTACAGCGCGAGTTGTGGCAGAATATCCAAAAACATTGCGCGGAGAGACTGCTTCCCGATATGATTCCAGGATTTGTAATGTCTGCATACTAAAAAAATGATTTTTTTTCCACAGGCGCCAACACCAGGTGTAAAACAAACGGAAAGCTGATCAAATGGAAAAAAAACAAGGGGGGGGGCGGCGAATTATGCGCCTGGTATGCACTTGTAAAAATAGCCGTCCTTCATGGGGGGGTGGCCCACAATAGGCACATTTACTCTCCACAAGAGTGGCGTGTCCTCTGTCCTCGGGACTGTGAAATGCTCCGACTCCCGGCATGGACACGATTTTGATCAGCACACAGGTAGCACGTTGTAGCACACCCAGCTTCGTCCTGTTCCCTGCTGCCTATTGAAGCGGGATACTCGCCAACATCCTGCAAGGTTGCTGCATCGAGAGTGAGTACTATCAACATTCAAGCGTCCTGTAGTCGAAGCTTTTGTCCGCTGTATGTCTTGGCAGGCAATGCAAGCCGTCTCCTCTTCAAGAACGAACCGGCCCTCCTTCCAGACTCGTTCTGCATTCTCATGTTTGAGCAAGGGAATTGCACGATGACTGACTCCGGTGAGGAGGAGGAAGGGTAAGTATTGAGCGATAAGGCAGCGTGGAGGAGTCTGACGCTTCATCCCGGGGAGGGGGAAGAAGTTGCAGTCATTTTCTGTCTACTCCATAGTTGGAAGGATTTTGGGGGATGGACACTACACAGAACACCAGGCACGTGCTGTGGGCTGGTGGTCTAGCATGGGGAGGAGGGAGGCGGCAGCAACCGCAAACGGCTATGACATATATGCGCTCAATAGAGTCCATATGCACCATGCATGAACTCTACGTGTTGTTGTTGTTGTTGTTGTTGTTGTTGTTGTTGTTGTTGTCTTGCCATAGAAAACCTTTCCGTCCTCTCTTCCCAGTACCTTCATCTGTCCGTACTAGTTTAACACACGGCGCGGTCGATTCTCGTGGTCACAGGCGAACCTACCCAATAGCAGGTACGCTAGAACAAATGGACCCGAAGGATCCGCAATTCAACAGAAATTAACGACAGATAGCCCACAGGACCCTCCGCTTGCCTCTAGAATACACACTATGTGAGGTAGACCGTAAAAAAGAACAGGAGAAAAAAAAACACACACACACAGAGGGAGAAAACGAGACGCGACAAAAGATATCTAGACACGCCAGGACCACTACAAATAAAACATGTCAAAATATTAAAAACAGAGCCACCCGAGACAACAATGGCATGCCATCGCTCGTGCGAGGTTGGTGCAATGGTGCAGTTACGGAGGGCGGGGATTAGTCAGCAGGGGTTCAATCCGGCATAACATGTTGCGCCGCTTGTTCCGACTCTTTTCGTTTTCTTTGTTCCCTCGCCATCTCGTCCGTCTGCTGCCCCCCTCTCGCCCCTTGGTTGTTACCATGTCCGTTCTGCTGCCGGGGTTATTGTTTCGTTTGAGAGCTCGCTGCCGGCTAGCCTCCTCTTCATCCTTGTGCCTGGCGGTGATGAACCTCGTAGCTCCCTGCAGTACCCCGTATGTCACAGTACACCCCGCTCCACCTTCGCTGCTTCCGTCCGCGTTGTCTGCGGGATTCCGAAGACACATGGCTCGGGGTTCGTAGATGCATGCTCTGCCTCGAACGTCTTGAGGTCGTCCTTCAGCCAGATTTGCTTCGTCTTGAGGGGCGTGTACGCATCTAAGCGCACCCGGCAGCCGCTAGACCATTTGCCTCGAATCCCTCAGCAAGGCCGGGACGGAGCGATATGCCGGGGTTTCGCCGGCTCAGGCCACGTTTCACAAGGGTGAACCCGAAGCTTCTGGTCATCATTTATTCTTGCGTTTGCTGTACGGGAAGGGAGGGGGGGATAACGGTGGACGGAACGGGTATATCTTCAGCTTTGTCTTCCTCAAATCACAGGCGAATTCTCGTAGCTTTGGAGGCATCGCATGAAAAGCCTTGTTCGCTTTTCAAACTCCTGAGAATGGTCGTCATCGGAGTTGCTTCGATGACACTTCTTTGGACTCGCGGACGTTTTTTTTTTTCCTTTTGCGGAGAGCTCTCTCGGGTGTATTAACGTGAAAGAGAGAAGGACAGAAATTCGTTGTATCTACTTCCCAATCGAATATTTTACCCCATCAAATAGTCAGGTATTCGATGAAGAAGATAATTGCCGAATTGACTAGGTTTGATCCCATACAATGTAGAAAACGTCTCCTTTATCGAAAAAACATTCATCATCGAGGGGGTGCGGATACTGCCTATAGATCGTTACTACTGGGACAAAACGTAGACTGAAAAAGTTGGAGCTGGCTGTCGACGGCAATACCTACGAAAATATCCCACGTTATGGCAAAGCTCCACAGTACTCCGATTGGTTCCGAAAATAGGTCTTCCCGTCCTCCGACAAATTACAGTCCAATCATCGGTTCCTGGAATTACTCTCTTGTTTCACGCAGATTTACCGGAGGCCGCTCACACGCATCGCAGACGCTGGACGTGATCAAGACCATCATGCTGAACGACAAGCAAAAACATGTGGGTTGAACGCAGGGCTTCCTTGAGCCGATAGACAGAGGGTCAGGTATTGGCGCGTGTCCTTGGAGCCAGCTGGATTACATGTGGTACAACTCGCGTTCACCAGAAACCAAAACAAATTGTGGATGCAAGAGCACCGGACGGAGCCGACGCAGGGCGGCGGGTTCACCAGGTTAGCCAGTTCAGGAGATGAAGCAACGTGATGCTTGGGAGTATACGAACGTTAATGTCTTTGCGAGCGATGGAGTGTTCTCTTGCCCTTGGTGTTATCTTGTTTCCTAGTTGTTCGAGTAAGGGACTCCGTATTGTTGAGCAATCGGGAATAGGGGTTACAGGCTGAGAAGCGCAACAACCGCTCATGGAAAGGCAACGGCAAACAACCAAGATTTCAGTAACATCAATCCTTGTCTGTGGGTCTAGTATTCGATCTTCCTGTGATCAATCCCTCACTGCCCCTCATATCCCCCCACTTGAGAGTCGTGTACAGTAGGGTAGGCCACACCAATCCTATCGAATGGAGACCCCGATGTACCTGCAACAGAGGATCACATCAGCCTGTCCAACCCTCCGTCCTGTCCAAAATGGCATTTGTTCCAGGATGTGATTGACGCCGTCAATGTGGATTTCGACATTCCTTTGATCTCGGAGGGAAGGGAAAGGGGAATTATCGAGAAGTTCGTCGACCAGGTACCGAAAGAACTAGCCGTAGGATGGGTAGAACACCGCATGGACAAAACCGCATGCTTATCCAAGACCTTGAGACGCATAGAATCGGAAACAAGACCGGAGCACCAAACGGAATAAAAAGTCATTTGGAAGGCGAGCTCAGGCGCAGTCTACCGGCAAATGCGACTTCAAGTAGGTTGTCCTTGACGGGGGCAACGAAACACGAAATTGAGGCCTGACCTGAAATTGACGTTTCTCCCCTGCGCGCGGCTATTGCTGTAAGTGGCATTAAAAATGTTACGAACAAACAGGACGTGCGCAGAAATTTTCAACCCCTCTGGTGTTCGACCCCAACACCACCGACGTGGTGTAAGGAGCTCGAGGTTCAAACAGAACATGAGACATGTGCATGTCCCCCCCTTCATGGTAGTGGGAAGTGACCTGCTTGCCACACGTATCTTCAGGCAGCCAAGCTCGCCATCCACTGGGCCCAACATATTGTTTACCGTCACTACATGTAGGCGGTGCCCGCGATGGAACCATCGCTTTCGGCGCTCATGCCACCCGCGTATATGGATCTGGTCAAGGTCGCGCTGGACGAAACCCTTACGGCCGCCGAAAGGTGAGTTAGCTCAATACAAGTACCTGCTCCTCGTCCGCGTCTGGTTGAGTACCAAACGAACAAGTGGACAAGGAATATTTACGAGATTTCATGACCACAAAGTCTATCAGCAAGCATGCTGATACATAACGTGCACACGCTCGCTGGGTGCGTTGTTGCCAGTCAGGTTGAAAACGTCTGAAACCGACGCTGGTCGAAACGATACCAGGGGAGATGTTTCCCACCACTCCTGCGGGTGTGCCCCCAATGCCGTGCAGCAATCGCCTAATCCCATTTGTTTCGCGGGGGCAACTACAGTAGTTTCATCGCACAATCCCCAATCATCTACACGCACATGGGCTCGTCCACGAATAATTGCTGTGTAAATCAACCAGGAAGGAACGCATGTCCGAGCTGCTACGTGGCGAGCTGGCCGTTCCGCTGTCGAAGCAACTCAACGAGCGCGTGGACTGTTCGTACATCCCGGAGAGCATGGAGGGCAAGGTTCTCAAGGTCGTGGCCGAAAAGATGGTCAACGAAATCGTTCAAGGAATATTTACGAGATTTCATGACCACAAAGTCTATCAGCAAGCATGCTGATACATAACGTGCACACGCTCGCTGGGTGCGTTGTTGCCAGTCAGGTTGAAAACGTCTGAAACCGACGCTGGTCGAAACGATACCAGGGGAGATGTTTCCCACCACTCCTGCGGGTGTGCCCCCAATGCCGTGCAGCAATCGCCTAATCCCATTTGTTTCGCGGGGGCAACTACAGTAGTTTCATCGCACAATCCCCAATCATCTACACGCACATGGGCTCGTCCACGAATAATTGCTGTGTAAATCAACCAGGAAGGAACGCATGTCCGAGCTGCTACGTGGCGAGCTGGCCGTTCCGCTGTCGAAGCAACTCAACGAGCGCGTGGACTGTTCGTACATCCCGGAGAGCATGGAGGGCAAGGTTCTCAAGGTCGTGGCCGAAAAGATGGTCAACGAAATCGTTGCGGCGGCCGTAAAATCGGACTAAGGAGGCCAGGCAGAATTAAGTGACCACACCGGCAAGCTTGGCTTCGTCATTCTCGCTTGACCACGGCAGCATTCATGTTGTCCTTGTGTGGAGTTTTGTCGTTCATGTCGACGAGGCAACAGCGGGAGTAGAAGCCACGTGCGGGCCTACTCTCAAGTAGGACGAAGGGGGGCCGAGAAACACCTGGACTCGTTGCCCCGTACAAGTAGGCCTTATCGAAGAAGCTTTAAGCCTAGGAGGAGGCGGTGACCGTACTGTTGTTTGCCCACGCGAGTGGGCCAAGAAGGTTCATCACATTTCTTTGTGACGACCGAGGTTTGGTCGACATGTTTCAGTCTCTATCGGCTGCCTATACCACCCTCCGTAGGGTGTGCCGGGGGTACGGGCTGACGAGGCAGGCACCCTCTTATTGAGGCTACCGTGGCACGTTTCATGGGATGTCCCTTGACGTTACTGTGGGCTGCCCACGAATCGCCATAGGGCTAGGGCCACCCCACAGGGGCCGACACAGGCTGATCGCGACCCCTGGCCCCCCTTGGGCGGCCCACCGGACCCACTGTAGGTTCTTTTGTATTTTTGCACTCACGGAACATCCTGGTCGCCCGTAGTTTGGGGGTGGCGGACAATGGGCGGCCCGTGAGTCGCTTGATCGAAGCGTATGTATGCATATGTCACAATCAATTGGCGAGACTGTTGTTGTCGTTATTGTTGTTGTTATTTTTCATATTAAACTCGTGTCAGTTGCTAATCCCAAAATCTAGTAAAGACTCGGTCCGTGGTCACAAAAGTGCTAAAGCCCATCAGAACATCAAAAGAACACACACACTATTAGCAAGAAAAGGGTACACAATGTTCGTGCGTAGAAATAGATAGTCGAAAAGTAGCCCGTTACGTGGGACGCAGCTGGGAAAACTTGAAGGGTATGTGCTGAGAGACTTTGGCTGATAGTGCGGAGTCCCCGTGTTCTCTCGACAGCTCTCGAGAATAGGGGCCTCTGCTCCTTCTCCCTCTCTCCTCTCTCATGCGAGCTAATACACACACAGTTAAACAGCAGCCCCAAGTCCGCCGGCCCTTGACAGGGCTAGGGCTCACGAACACGCTAGCGTGCGTCCTCCCGGGAGGATCCACAAGACGGTGCGGGCTATGCCAAGCGAGAGGCAGCGTGGTTCCAGCAGCCAAGGTACGCAACTCTGAACTGGACGCTTTCTGACTGGAACGGAGCAGCAACTGAACGAGTAGAGATGACAGAGGTACAGGAGATGATGGGCATGCTGCCATCGCTACTGCAGGCCGAGTCGGAAGGGCAAGGCCAGGAGGGGTCGGCGGCGCTGCAAGAGGGCGCCGCGGGTGCGGCGGAATTGGGGGTTCCGCCGAGCAGCTACCGAGAGCTGTATCCTGCGGTGGTCGTCAGGGAGGGCGACACTGCTGGAGGAGAGAGCAGCAGTAGGCCGGGCGTGGAAGGCGCCCTGGTGCGGGATGTGGAGGTCCCTGCTGCAGGTGGGTTTGGTGCATTCCAAGACACCAACTCTCTTCGTAGTACGTTCGGCAGTGCTTGCGTACAGCAGTCNGCGCGGGGGGGGATGGGCGCCGTACATGCTTGATGCTGGCGGTGTTTTGTTAAGCCGATCCAAGACCGGCAGTAGAGGCCGGGTACGCCCTACCACGGTTGACACGCGCGACGGCGCGTCGGGGGGTGGGCGCCGATCACGCGGGAGCGGGCGGCGTTTTTTGACCACAGCACGGACGGAGGGGCCGTGGCTGCTTTGCCTCGTCGTCGGAACGGGGGGGGCAGCATTATAAGGCGCGCGGAGGTGGCGCGCAAACCCAGCACGGACGGAGGGGCCGTGGCTGTTCTGCCTCGTCATAGGAGCGGGGGGAGTAGCATATTAAGTCGCGCGGAGGTGGCGCGCAACCATCAGCCGGAGGTGGGTGGTGGAACGGGGCACAGCTAAGTGGGTGTCATCAAAGTCGCGTGGGGAGGTGCCGCGCGCATTTCATCAGCCGGGAACGAGCGGTGGAGACAAGAATGC